TTACATTATCAATGCAATTTACATGATTGGACTACACCAATTAACATGACAAGAAGTATACTTGAAATCACGAATGAAGCATAATATCAATGCAATTAACAAGATTGGAGCATTTCAAATAATATAACAAGTTTGAAATCTTCAAGGAATAGCAACTTGAAATTTAAAGAGTGAAATAAACCAATATGGAAACTTGGATATCGCCCGGATTAAAACTGTACTCTTCGGATCACTTTAGGGTTACCAGCCCAATGGTACCTTCCCCTAGTCTTAGGATCACTTTAGGGATTATCAACCCAAGGGTACCTTCCCCTATTCTTGGGATCACTTTAGGGATTATCAACCCAAGGATACCTTCCCCTATTCTTGATTGATATCCCAAGTCCCAAAATCAATAAGTTGTGCAAGTCAAGATTGTATCAAAATACTAGAAACATATTAACCACGTCTCATGCACAACCAAGATTTTGAAACATACAAGTCATGCCCTAAGTTCGCATTAATATGATATGATGAATGTCGAATCTTCAGTGTGCAATTCGTTACACGCTATGCATGAAGGGTGTTTAATGCGAAGTGTGCAAATCATTACACAAGGCAAGTCTAATGTCAAGTTACAAGTTTATTCTAAGCAAGATACAACCATGTGAATTAAGTTCCATACAAAGGAATTAATTAAATATAAGTTTCAAAACTTATCCGATTATTCTCGATTTGATACACGTGAATGAACTTGTCTAGAAAATCATGAATACAAGGTTAGAAACTGAATCAAGACCAATGAACTATGAAATGGATTTTAATTACTTCATTTAATTAAAATCTCTAGGTTTTGAAATTCATCTAAATGATCTCAAATTAATATATGTTATACAACATGCCAAGACTTAATTTCAAAACACGACACAAGTGAATTCCATGCAAGAGAAAACCACGAATATTAAACTTTAATACTAGAAAATAAATAAATGAAAGGTTTCAAAACCTAATCAAATATTCTAGATTTAATATATGTGAAACCATATAGCATGCATATCAAGAATGTCAAGTCGGAATTCTAATGGAGTGAATAGTACACTCGGAATAAATTAATTAATCAAATTAATTAAATATTACTAGATTTCAAAACAATTCCGATTACTCTCAATTTAATCTATGTTGAAGAGCATGCTAGGGCCTAATTTAATATGCTAACATACATTGATTTCAAGCTAGTTAAGGCCATGTGAATTAATTTTTCACTTAGGATAAATATTAAATAAAAGTTTTAATACTTATTCAAATGTTCCAATTTTAATACACGACAATGAGCATGTCAGGGGGTAATATAATATCATGCTACATGTTTAAACCAAGTCATGAGCAACCTGGAAAATCAGATCCCGTACAAGAAAAATAAATAATAAAATCTCTAAATTTCATATTTAAGTATGTAATCAAGTTGTATAAGCATCAATATCATGCTATATAACAAAAATTAAACCTAGAACATCTCTTACCTCAATTTGAGATGAAAACCTCAAAGGCCCACCGAAATAAAAGTACTCCGAATTCGACGATACTGAGAGGTTTTGTCGGGACAACACCGTGAACAAGAATCCGCAAGAAGCCCCATGAAAATCTCAACTTGACCTCAAACCCAAACTCAAGAAATCGTCATAAATGAGTTTTAATAAGGGCATAAGGTAGAACACGTCGAGGGGAATAATAAACGTTAAGGCAGAAGGATTTCTACCAAGGAAAAGTGGACCAAAAGAAGAGAAAAAAGGTGGCAGCCATGGCTGCCATGGATTCCGGCCAAGAGAGGGGAAGAAGAGAAAGAAATCTCATATTTTCTCTTAAGTGACCCTATTTATAGAAAATCTCAAAAAGTGCCCCGAAAGGGCCCCGCTGGGTATGGAAAAGTGGAGTTTGAGCAAACGCACTCAAACGGAAAAACTCTGTGAATAAAAAAGATTCAAAATGAGAAAATATGAACAACAGAAGAAACGACGTCAAAAATCGAGTCCCGAGCAGAGAGATATGCCCCAAACAAAGTTCTACAGCAACCGGTCCAGAAACTTTGAAACTGAAGAAAAACGATCAGGACAAAATTCTATGAGTACACGACTCAACAAAATGTAACAATGAATCCCGTACGAGGATCCAGGCACCAGACAAGATATTTTGCAATAACTTTCGTTAATTGCACAATGGCCTCTACAAAAAGTGTTAACTGCAAAACTGCCCCAGAATGAAAATATCTTCCAAAAGATATTTTCTTAGATACCCCTGAAATAAAATATCTTCAAAAGATATTTATGAAAAACAGCCCAAGAAAAGAAGATAATTCCAAAGAATTGTGCATCCATGTCCTTATGGATACTTAGAGCAACCAGAGCACTTTCTTGAAAAAGTGAAGATACGTATTTCGTGGAAACCACGCAAGATCAAGATATGTGAAGTCAAAAACTAACTCCGAGCATGAAAAGTGAGGTTATGCCAAAAACTGACAAATGGGGAAAAGACAGAATAGGGAAAATGACGAAATAGTGCATAGTGTTGAAAAACGAAAAATGTGAAAATGACTCGATCCTCAAAGGAAGTTGTCAATTCATGGAAAAGAGTCTCGGAAATCATTTCCAAGCACTCGAGATGACACTAAGCGACAAGAAACAGAGTTCAGAAATGAAAATTAAACGGAAAAAAATTTATCCGTAAAATTTCAGGAAAAAGAAAAGGAAGGGAAATTTCCGGGTCGTTACATTTTTACTTACCCAAAAAAAAAATATGAATACTCTAAGGAGCGGACCACTTTAAGGTGATTATGTTGAGTCGGATTAGTGTTGTCAGTGATTTCCAAAGTACTAGAGTAAAGAACAAACATAGTATATTTGTTTTCATCACTTCCACATTCCTCTTCTCATCCCTCCAACGTTCTGACGAACCAACCAGAGTGTCCCAACATGAAGCTCTAATTAGCCGTTCGAAATGATTTTCTTATTTTTCCTAGTAATGACTTTTGTGTTTTTTTTTTTTTTTTTTTTTCTTCATCTTTGTTTCATTCCTAAACTCAACACATGTCTGTCACCGAGAAAGGAATCATTAAATTTTTTTTTTTGTTCCCAAAAAAAAAAAAAAAACAAACATACCCAACAACTATAATAGAAGGTCTAATGACAATTAGATGATAACAACAAAGATATCTATGCTCTCACATTCGGTTCACAATTCATACAAATTTTATCTCATAAAATAATTAGTTTACTTAAATACAATATGCATGCTAATAGTACTCATGTCTTATCTATGTGTCGGTAGTATACTAATAACCTTAGCAGCCAAGTTTAATAAGAACACTATATAATATGATTTTGTTTTTCATTTTTATAAATGAATTAACTATTCTAAGTAAATGATTGAAGTATTGGAGGAAATTAAACCTAGACATATGAATGTGGAGAGACGGAATTCATATGAGATTTGTCTACTCATTTTAGGAGTTGGTTGACGAAATGTCATTTTCTCAACCCATTTCTTACATTTAGAAGTTATCATTATTAAAGTAGTATCTTCTTATGAAGTTTTATCAATTTAATATTACTACTAAAATTCACTCGAACACCTCAAAATCAATATAGTCCAAAATGTAACAATAAAATATATGTGTAATAATTATCATAAAAGAATTTGTATTGTAAATTTATGATTATTAAAGTAGTAGCTTGTTATAAAGTTTTATCAATTTAATATTACTACTAAAATTCACTCAAATAGTTCAAAATCAATTATATACTACAATAGAAAAGGCCTTTTACGAGGAGCCAAACCTCTGTAATAAACTTATTTATAGTATACATATTTGTTCCTTAATATACACCAACGCATCATGTATAAACTAATTCTACTTGAATTTTTACGGGATCTTTGCTTTTCGTAAATAATGTAAACTTTTTACGAGGTTGAAGTTGTGCTATGCGGGTAAGTAAATATGAGCTTATTTACGAGGTTTCAAGCTCCCCGTAGATAACATATCTCATCTTTTATTCTTTTTTGTATTTATTTTTTACACCACCTATAAATGCTACTTAATATTCCACAAAACCTGTAATTAACAACAATTTCAATTAAATACATTATATAATGGTAACATTTCTTAGTTAATAACAATAACCAAAACAATCCATTGAAATGCACCATCAAATTAACATATCAAAAGACTAAAAATATTTTCACAATTCTAAAATTCATCATTATTCAATGTGCAAAAATAGAAATTGAAGCCAGTTTGTTAAAAACACCATGAATTCTATCAATTCCCTAGCACTTGAGATTCAGTAAGCCCTTATTAAAAACACCATTTCCTAGCATTTGAGATTCAGTAAGTACTTGTCAAAAACACAATTTCCTAGCATTTGAGATTCAATCAGCACTAGTCGAAAATACCACCTCATTATCCAAGATACAAAAACTAAACAAGTACCTGCATCACACAATGCTGGATTTCAGAAAGCTAATAATCTTTAAAACCTGAAGTGAAAAAGAAAAGAAAAAAACTTAAATACTATGTGATATAAATATGGGTAAATTACATTGACCTCCCTTGAGGTTCAGTCAAGTTACACTGACCTCCCTTTAAGTTTAAATCTTCATAACAAAGAATACCCCTCCATTAACTACCGTTAAAGGTAAATGCCTAGTCAATGTTAATAGTTGCTGATGTAAGTTTAAAGTTACTAAAGTACCCTTTTAGTTATTATGAAGACAAATTTGACCTTACTTACTGAAGTAAAATTACTTAAAAACCCTCCATGGTTGCCATTACATATGAGCCTTTTGGGTTCTATGCAATTTACTAGAATCCATTGGAGCCACCGGTACAAGCTCTCTCCACTCGACCTTTCAAAAAGAAAAACCTCTCTCCGCTAAGTAATTTTTATTGGATGATTCTTGTACTCCACTCTACATAATAAGCAATTGCCTTTTTTTTTTTTTTTTTTTTTTTTCTCTCTCTCTCTCTCTCTCTCTCTCTTTTAAACTCACCATTGAGTTACTTCATTTCATGTGTTCCTTATTATGTAGAGTAAAGTATAAGAATCATCTAATATCAACGCCACGGAAAAATAAATTTTCTAAGTGTCTTGGTTTTAGACTTCTTTTGTAACCAAATGCAATTAGATTAATTATAAATGGAAGGTGGAGAGATCTACTACAACCAAACCTCCAATTATAAATAATCCAATTAATTATTTGGTGTGTTTGAGTTTCAGCACCAAATCTGGGTTTCTGCCTTCTTATACCCTCGTTGTCGTCACCAATCAAACCCAAAATATATATACACCAAATCAAACAAATATATCCTCTCTCTCTGTCTCTCTCTTTCTCTCCTCTCAAATTGTTTCTCATCAAACAAATATATATATATATATATATATATATATATATATATATATCTCATTCCAAATTGTTTCTCTTTGACATATGGATAATTTTGTCTTTTCAATGTTCATCCTTTCGTAAATAAAATACAATAAATATAATGAGGACATATATGTAATTTTACTTGAACAGTTAACACCATTCACATGACATCTATAACAGGGGAGGTTGGTGTAATTTGACAAACAAGAGGGGAAGTTAGTGTATATTGACGAAACCTCAGAGAGGTCGGTGTAATTTTCCCTATAGATGTTGAAGATTTAGAGTACCACTCTTTGCCATCAACTATATATCATGTCAAAGAACAAAGCAGGATTAAAGATTATTAAGCAATTTTATCACACAAAAGTATAGATCACTTTGAAAGAACCATTCACTTAGGTTTGGATGCTACTGTCATTGAAGCACATACACCCTCCACAATGTACCTGCATATGGTGCTGAAGACTAATTTTAAGTAATATCCTCAAAGACATCAGCCATTGAATGCTGACTTTCTACTAGTATTCTCAAAATACAGCCATAAACAAATTTGGTTAAAAAAAAAAGATTGATCCACACGAGAAGGCAGAAACCCAAATACACAATAATATTTGATGCATTATCTGGCAGCGGCTATTTATAGACTGATTCCATACAAAAACAACACTTTAATTTGATGGTTTTTTCTATCTTGGGTGCCTAAAGTCTGTGATAAGGTAGCCCATGCTTTTGGTTCTCTGACTCCATCATCAATTCAAATCTTCCTTTGTAGCACTTGATGGTTCTGTAACACTTCAAGATAGGCTAGTTTTACAAGTACCAAACATTTAATTAAAGGGATGATTAATTAACCTTATAGAAAGGGAAAATAGAGTTAAAAATCCTTGTCCAATTTGTTAATATATACCGAGACCAAACCCTAAACGGGATCATGAATTCACTGTTTTCAGTGTCATTAAAATGTATAATTACATATCTAAAGCCACTTTATTGGGATTTACATTAATCATATGATCGATCAGCTAGGTCACGTAAGTAGATTTCTCAAAGTTTAACTCATTCATTTGATTAATGTAATTGTCTATTGGACTCTACTCATTTGCAAAACTATATTTATAGTACATATTCAAACAAAGATAAATGAGAACGCCTTAACTAGATAGAGAAGATATTGGTACAAGAAGAAGAGCTCACTGCAGTGTAGATTGCAACAATACAAGAAATGCTACTTTGAAATTTAAGCAGAAACACAAAAAGGCAAATCCCATTTGCAATATTTCTTTAATTTTTTTTTTTTCAGGATGAAGATATAACATGAAGTTACTATGGCAGAAAGCAACAAACTTCTAGATAAAAAGGCAGAACTCATGCTGATCTTATACACTGAAGTAAACTTTGACGTGAATAATTTTGATACCTTCTTCAACTACTACCTATTTTTTCACAATCGAAATATACAAATAGCTACATATATTTCTTTTTAGTGTAGTGAGAGTAGATGATTATCCGATCTTAGGGGGTTGAAAAGAGCAATTAATAATTACACATGCATAACAAAGTTATCAAATCACAGATATTGTCCATATCCAAATTGCACATGTATAACTAAGTTCTGATTCAATGGAAGATCCTTAAAGATTACACAATATTGGATGGCATATATATATATTATATCATTTATAAATTTCACCTCACCTATAATTAGTCTAGGGCAAAGTTGTCATGTTGTATAGACTAGAATCATTGAGATTCTAATAGTTCTCCTAGCGAATTGGAGATACCGGATCCTGACACAAAAAAAATATATTTAAAAAAATGTATTGCCAATCAATATAAAAAAAATAAAAATCAGATAGTATGTTAATGAACGCTTTAAAAGATAATAATAAAAATAAAAAATAAAAAAAGAAGGAAATAAATGATCAATTGACCTCTACAATTTTCACATATTTGCTAGGCCATACAACTGTGCTTGTTGAGCATCACAAAGACAACACCTTCCAGCTAGGGTTGCTCGGTAAAAAGGACAATCCCTGGCAATGACATCATCAGCCCAAACTTTCCAACAATCTGGACCAATTGGAACATGATCATCTGATAACGCATTCAGATCCGTTGATGCAATCTCAGCATTGGCACCAACTACACCTTGTCCATTCTAGTGTAACAGCTTACATTGGTAACCTTTAAATCTCATTCATCAGCTCAGCTCTCATCTCACTCTTCATTTCAGATTTGATTTATTCCACTCTTTCTTGAAATATTTCATCCACTCTTTTTGCTTGCACCATCTTATATCCATTTGCCTCAAGTTTAGAAATTGTTGCTCCAAAACCAAGGCCTCTAACCCGCCCTCAATGTTCTGAACCAAGTACATGAGTGACTCCATCATCTCGAAGAGAGCTTGTGCCTTTGGGTTGGGTTTTAGTGTACTCTTTCATTTGTTTATGAAATTCCATGAGTTAAGTATGTTTGTAAATGGAATACAAAAAAATAATAATAAAATAAGTAGGAAAGATATACTACCACTGCTCGTCCTATTGCATCATTCAAAGGTTCCCCACTCTTCCTCAGGTGACCTTCAATCCATACATCAACTCTTGTTATAGAGTCGGGCGCCTTAGGTTTTTTTTTTTTTTCTACACAAGAACAATATTTGTGTACAGATAATAAATTAAAACTTATACACTCATTGCCAAAAACATGATGATGCAAAAGAGATGAGTTTCCTATAGAATGACTAATACAGGTGGTAGAGGCAATCAGACCACCCTCTTACACACTAGATGAGTCATTTTAGAACATTTTTCATAACCAATTTGCAAGCTGCCACCTCCAACAGAACACTCATGATTGAAAATTCACTAAAACTAGAATTTTAATCCAAATGACATGAATCCAAAACCATTTGAAAGCTAACTTATTGGACTTTCATGCATACATTTTATTAAAAATAATCATATTGACCCATTGGTACAGTTTTAATGAAAGCAGGAGCCAAAATTCTATTCAAAAACTCTTTTTCCAGCATAATGTTTAAAAATTCAATTCTCGATCAATTTTTATGAAACTAAAGCGAATTGGAAGCTTAAAGACTATATTTTGATGCTATCCATTTATGTCAACAAAATTCCTTACCAATTAAATCAGGTTCGAAAGAAAAGATAGGAAAAATTCTACTCACGAAACAGACTTTACAACATGTTATCATCGACTTCGAAAATTCATAATAAATTCAAAACTCACTCAATTGGAGCCAAACAAAATCCTGTAAACTCATTAAACAAATGTATTTCCATGTCCCAAAATCTCATTTAAGGATAACAATTCATAAATTTCAGTTCTAAAACCAGAAAGTCAGTGCATTCATAATAATGAATCGAACAAAAAATAGAGTCAAACAAACAGCATATAAAACAGACCATCATAGCATTTCCTGAATAACCTAGTTAGTTTGGTGACAACATATTGTACTACTTACCATTTCATCCACTAATAAAAAAAAAATTGTTTAAAAATAACAAGTTAGTACCGCTTACCATTTCACAATCTACTATATATAAAAACATGTTATAGATGTGCATCCATTCTTTATCCATCACTATCTGCCCAAAAATTCTATAGGAACCTGTCACAAAAAAAGTAAATTATTGGTATCAAATAAATAATTTTTTAGGTAGCATTTGAGGTAGTATCATTGATTCTCTACTGGTACAAATAAATAGTCCCCCTCAATTATATTCAAAGGGAGGGATTGTTTAAGAATTGTCTACAAATAAATTAGTATTAAATAATTAGACATTCAGATAACATAAAGATACTGTTTAGGGAAAGATGTTTTACTAATCAAAGCAGAATCAGAATAATAAGTTAATTTTGCTTTATCCTAAGCATGTTGATGACCAAAGCAAAATTAACTTATGGCCATCAACTAGTTGCTCAACAGGCTTACGATAACTTATTGCGAAATTAAAAGTGAATCATCACTAATTTTATGTACTTAAAGTGTTTAATTTAAAGTCTGTAATTTCTGATTTTAATTTCATGCATTCATGCTTGTTCACTACAAGAACCCTTGAATAAAAAATAAAAATGAAGTATTAGCTTTCTCATACTATCATGCTATTGTAGATGCTATCTTACAACTAGATTCAAAAGACCTACAGGTGATCCTACATGGGATAATGATATTAAAAACATTTGTACTAATTATATATATATATATATATATATATATGGGTAAAGTGCAAAAAAAAACCCTTGAATTATTGGCTTTTTGCAACTAACCCCCCTGAACTAAAGATTGCCCCCTTAAACTATTGATTTGTTGCAATTAAGGACAAACCCATCACAAAAGCCTATTTTACCCTTTGTTATTAAATTTGTCATTTCTTATTAAATTGTTTTTTATTATATTTTCTCTTATTTAAATATTAATTATATCATTTACCTTAATTTTATAATTAGTATCAATTGATTAGAAAAAAAAAAAAAAAAATTGTAGCTATCATTTTCTAAAATGATTAACTTATTATAATTAACCCTAGTATACTCACTTTAAAAAAAAAAATTAGTATAAAAAAATATTTTCTTTTTCAAACAATATTCATGAAAAATTAATAAATTACGTAAATAAAAAATATCTTCTTTTTAATGCAATATATTCATGAAAATTAAGAAATTACTTAAATTGTTTCAAAATTTTCCATTTAAGATTTTTATTTAAATAATTAATTTTAAAAATTAAAGGCAAACTTATACAAATTTAATGGAGAATATTTCATCAAATTAATATGAATTTTTTTTATAATTTATTTTAATAAGAAAAATATATCAAGTGTAATTCAATAAGAAAGGATATTATGGTCATTTAATGAAAAATAGGTAAGACAATGTGGCATTTTGCAACTAAATGTGATAGTTTAGGGGGTTTTATGCACAAAACATAGTTTAGGGGGTTATTTACAAATTTAGACATAGTTGAGGGGGTTTTTTGCACTTTACCCTATATATAATTAAAAAAATTAACAGAAATCAAATCACCTTAAAGCAGTAAACTGTGAGTAACTTAGAATTTATGTTCTAGATATAAATCACAATAAGCTCTATACATGATAGATCATGTTCACATGTTTACCCAGCAAATCTGATTCAGAGACGAAAAGGAACATGAAAGGTAAAAAGAAAAAGACAAATTAAAACGTAAAGATCTGAAATAGTTAGTTTTTTCTTTTTTCCTTTTTCTTTCGAGGTAGGCATTGAGTTATTTTATTAAAACTAAAATGGCAAAGCCAAAATTATATAATAGGGGATACAAAAGTCATGGAAACCCCAAACCCATTAAGGCAAAAGAAACCAAATCCAAAAACCCAAATACAATGAGTACAAAAGAAAACAAGAAGCCAAAGTCCAATACACAAAAAATAAGCACAACCAAACAGGATTGGCACTCAAGTAGCACCACTTATGGGATGACAAATATGTTGCCGCCTCCAAATTTTCAAGAACAACAGCCACGAGGCAAAGCCCATAATTAAGAAGACTCACCCACAACACCAGAGAGTATGCATCGCCTTCCCAATAAAATGCTCATACCAAATCTTCACAAACCAACCCCATCTCTAGCTGGACAACCACCGCCAAACCCAAGCATAAAAAGGAACCCACCAACCCAAGCTATACATCAACAACAAAATAAACAACTTACAACCTAAAAACCAATTTTATAGATATGATTAATGCTACATTGGTTGCTGAGAAATCCTAAAAAAATATAACCTAAATTTGTTAGTCTTGTCTTTTTATCTTTAGATGCATTCATCAAACAAGCCTATTTCAATTATTAATTAATTAAGTCTATCACAAAACATACAATATATATATATATATATATATATATCCAAATACCATTGATCAATAAGTTACCAGATATAAAAAAACTCAACACAACACCGTTAACCAATTCATGCATCGCTTCTTTTTCATTGTTAGAAAGTAAATCCTCACCAATTCGTATAAAGCATATGGAAGAAAATGCCAAAATCATCAAATTTATACATATATAAAAACACAAATCTGTACATACCAAAACTTGGACCTAGATCCGAACTCGTTGGTGGTCCTGAGTTTCGGTAGCGAGAGCTTTTTCTACAACCTGGTACTTATGAAACTGCATAAGTGAATAACACAAATTTATTATAGTTCAAAAACCAAATTCACAATCAAAGAAACTAAGCATAAGAAAAAAAAGTAATAAACTAAACTTATTGAAGAGGGCTGCCAGCAGTGGGTTTTTACAAACCTTCGCAGCATTCAAAGAAACAAAAAGATATAGAACGATTACAGATGTTCAGAAAAAAAAAAAAACAAAACAAAACAAAACAAAAAAGAAAAAAAAAAAAGAAAAAAAGGAAGAAAGTGTTCCATTATGTAAAAAGTAACTACATTAAGTATAACTTCATGTGTTTATGTCATTATCCTAGTCAATTACAGATTTTGATTTCACAAGAACCAGAAAACAACTTAGACTTGCAGATGAAATTTCCTATTTATTTCATCAACCCTGCTTTTTGTTCAAGATAAAGAATTTTTCATGAACAAAAAGGAAAAAATAAATTTTCATTATATGAACACTAAACACAGAACTAATTAATAAGTAACGACACCATCAAAACCAGAGAAAATTTAGAACTAGTATACCTAAAAACTGAAGGCATACAGAAATTAATCACATATCACCCTATACATATATATATGAATGGGTAATAGACACATCATTTTTGTCAATAAAAAATATCTGAATTGTAATAAAAAAATGAATGAACATCATTATATGAACATTAAACAGTGAACTAACTAACACCAAGTAACAGTTCACTGGATCGAAACTACAGAAACAATTAAAAGCTATACAGAAGTTAATCATATACCACCTTATATAGAACTTGAAACCAACAATCAATAACACCTCATATATAGATCATGTTCACCAATTGACCAAAAGATCTTATTCAAAGACGAAAAAAACAGGAAAAGGAAATATGTTGTAGTTATAAGCATAGTTTTATATATATATATATATCGATTTGGTAGAGGATTTGACTCAATAAGAGCAGATAAAACCCTAAGAGACAAAGAAATAAGCCAAAATTATCCTCAAAGATTAAGGATTAGGGTTTTGGTAGAGAATATAAATCAGTATATGGGGAATTTGAGAGCAGTTTCTGCGGACCAGAGGGTTTCTCTACTGTCTTGAAAACAGATTGTTGGTTTCTTCATAAAAGGGACCTTGAAACTGACCTTGGGTTGCCGGAAGTGAAAGAGGGCACCGTTAATGTCAACCTTCCCTGAAACAAATTGTGGGTTTCTTTGCTTGCCGCAATTAGGGAGTAATCGAGCATGAGAAATATACCGAGTACGGTGTGGCTTACTCTTCATCAGCCACAAGAGAAATTTTTTAAGGGGTAATTTAGACCGAACTCCCTGTGATTTGTCATAATTACATGGAACACTTTTTTGTTTTGAAAATTACGCAAATCTTCTCTACTTTTAAAAATATCTTACACGAACCTCCCTTATGAATAACGGACCATTAAATACACTAACGGAGTTGTCAAAATTACTGACATACCCTCTCCTTGACATCTAAAATTACTAAACTACCTCCATAAATTATTGAGTAGGCATGACATCAGCTTTTTATACACTATCGCCTCACTCTCTCTATTTTCACTTTTTCTCTCTCTAGGCAGCCATGGACTCAGAATCTAACAAACTGGAAATGTATTAGTTGATGATTATTAAAAAAAAATAAAAAAATTGGTTGCTTAGAACTTTCTCAAAACTCAAGAAAATTAAATCAAATGCTTGTGACTCTCTCACTGCTCATCTTTGCGGCTAGAGTTCCGTGACGAGTCATCAGGGAATTATGCTTTCTTTCCATTGGTGAAGCAGATTGGAGTGGTTCGGAGAGAAGGAGAGAAGGTGGTTGAGAATGGCGGTGAGGTGGGTTTAAAGTGTTCTTGCTGTGGTGTTTGGTTGGAGAGAAAATTTTACCCTCCTTGTATTGTGATCAAGCCTTCTTGGGGTGCTTTGGATTATACCCAGAAAGGGAATTTGATTGCAGAAGCAGGGGATGATGAAGATGATGATGGTGATCATCATCGCTATATTGAAGAAATCTTTATTTCTAGCCCTAATATTTTCTTCTGGAGCAGTATGCGGAGTCGTTTTATTCTCATTTTTCCAATATTCAGGGATTTGATTGGGGATCTCTTTTGTTTGTGAGTTGTACGGAGCGGAAATTACTTAGAAAGTTTTTGTTTGTTTTATAATAAGAGATCTTTGTCCTTAACTTGGCTTATTTTATGTTTTAACAAGTAAACAGTTAATCACATGTAGATAAAATAATGCAAAGTATATTTTAGCGAGGAAACCCCAGTTGATAAAATACGTCAACTGTTGTGGGAAAAACCTCGTAGACTGTGCAGTCCAAAGTAAATCAATCCACTATGCTTGAAATAAAGTATACCGAACTTTGATTCTGGCTCACACCCTATTGTTCTACACCACACCAATCGCTGACGATCCTCTGGCTTTGCGACTCCTCGTCCAATAGCAACTTAATCTCAGACTGACACTTGATATTTGTAGAAGAGTAGTAGGTAGATCAGACAACACTCCACGAATGCTCTAACCCTTTCAAAAGTGTGATTGTGTTTACCTCTATTCTTTAATCGTCTGAATGATATAGAAGAAGATCTGCTTCGTCTGATCGATGTTGATACAACTGTATGATCACGATCAAGATTCGAACTCCACAACTTTAACCTAATTAGGTAAATATGTGTATGTTCTAGGAAGACTACAGAAAAATCAACTTTGATTTTCTAAAAGGGATTAACTTCCTAAGGCTTTAAAAATATTGAATCTGTATAATAAAAGACGTCCTTTAAACCTTGTGTATGACATGGTTTATATAGAGGTTTGCAAAATCCTATTCCTTCATAAAATAAAGGAAATCTCGTGCATAGGACTTTATAAGGAAAGTGGAATCAAAAAGGGATTCAGCAGAACAAGGTAACTTGTAAACCTGTTGCACTCAGGACTTGTGGAACCGGTTCCCACTTGGCAGAGAGTTATCTTCGAGATGTAGCTCCTGGAACCGATTCCCAAATCTTGAACCAGTTCCCACTTTACAGACTTTAGGCTGAAATTGGATTGTCTGTATTTTGGTAACTCTGACCATATACCATGTAGGTAATTGTGTCCTAAATGGGAAACGATGTCTAAATCGTCCTTTTTGCCTTTTCAATGATCAACAAAACTTTCCTCTTCCTTCAACCTCTGAATTCCGCAGTCGATGTCAAGTCTGATATGGTAACTGAAATTACAACTCGACTAAGACTTGTTCTGTTACCGAAATATGCCAATTTACAAAAATATATCTCACATTGTTGACTTCCATAGAAGGGGCTTTTACATATTCTTCCTAAATATATTTAGGGTTATATTTTCTTTTGGAGTAGTACTATGCAAAGTCAAGTTTATTCTAATTTTTCCAACATTCAGGAATTTGATGGGGGTCTCTTTTGTTGACTTCTATAGGAAAGCATGTATTCCCATTAATGTCTGATGTGGGTGCACTCGACTATCAGATTGGGTGGTGAATGGATGTGAGATTGAAAACAAGAATGATGATCAAATAAGGGTTTCTGAGGTCAATAGTGGTTTTGATGTTAAAGAAGTGGAGGCAGAGGAGGATTGGTCTGTTTTTGTGTCTAACTCTGGATTGAAAGAATTGGGAGGTGATGAAGATATGATCATAGATGATAAATTTGGTGTGGTTTTGGGAGAAGAAAATAAACCCAATTCAGATATGATTATTGAAGATCCATCCTCTGATGAAACCATGATCCATCCTCTGATGAAATAAGGTTATATATGCATATATATATATATACACACACACACATATATATAAAATATTAGATATTTTATATATATATATTTTTTAAATATAATATAAAATTATATAAACAAGGGTATTTTAGGAATTTTAGAAAAAATAGTATATGACGTCATCATTTTCCGTTGTTGACTGGCGTTGACCGTAACGGAAGGGAGGTCCGTGTAGGATATTTTCAAAAGTAGGGGAGGTCCGAGTAATTTCTGAAACAGGAAAGATGCTGCCTGTAATTATGACAAACTATAGAGTAGGTCTGTATAAATTACCCTTTTTTAGGGCATGAGTGAGAGCGAGGCTTTCTGGAGAGATTGGAGAGATTGTGGGTGCAATTTTTTAGGGCAATTTTTTTTTAATATTCATTTATTTACAGAGTTTGGTTTTGGCTAAGGGGCGGGAGTGGGAAATTTGTGGGCGGGAAATGTTTTAGTAATTAACTCGGAAAAAAATATACCCATTAATATTTTTTAACGGCAAACATTTTATTGACATGGTTAAAAAATACTTGTTAAAATATTATAAAAGTTTGATAAATACCCATTAATATATATCTAAACATTAACGAAATATTTAACATATCGTTTTTTATCCGAGGATTCAAAGTACTGAAAAGAAAGATCGTCATAAAAGCTCTCTTTCTTGTACCATATATATTAATGGGTATTTATCAAACTTTTATAATATTTTTACAAGTATTTTTTAACCATGTCAATAAAATATTTGCCGTTAAAAAATATTAATGGGTATATATTTTTTTCCGCGTCAATTACTAAAACATTTCCCGACTTATGTGTGTATGTAGTATATTAATAACCTTAGCAGTTAAGTTTAATAGTTTAATAAAAACACTGCATAATATGATTTTGTTTTTTATTTTTATGAAGTAATTAATTATTCTAAGTAAATGATTGAAATATTAGAGAAAATTAAACCTAGACATATGGATGTGAACAATAGAAAACGATAGGTGATTATTAAAGTAAATGAAGTTTTATGAATTCAATATTAGTTTTGAAATTCACTCAAACACTTCAAAATCAATATAGTCAGCTTAAATGTAACAATAAAATATATGTGTAATAATTATCATAAACGAATTTGTATTACCGTTTAGAAAGATTTTCACTTCAGACTTGATCCACCATCCCTTCCCTCAATCATATGAATAAAGAAATAATTTATATTTAATTTGAAAAAAAAAAAAAAACTAAATAATGATGGGCGCAGAGCATCTTCGTATTTGAAGACATAATTTCAATTGTCTCTCGCCTCTTGATTTTTTTTTTCGCTGTTAAAAAAAATAGAAAGTTTATTCAAAACCCCAATAATTATATGAAATTCTAATCATGAGCTAAATTTGTTTTGCTTTCATTTAAACTAATTTTAAATTTAAATTATGAATTACAAGTTTTATTTTATTTTTTTGCTTGGCACATGTGGATAGTGTGAGCTAGATTCATAGACTGAACTTTGAATATTTTTTCTTGGCTACGAAAAATTGACTTGTTGACGAATTAGAGGTTGCTAGCTCACTTTCAAAAAAAATATATATATTTTTTTTGGGGGTAAATGAAGGTCACTTTTAATTTTTGATGCATATATGTTTAATAGTAAGACCTCAACTCTTTTAGTAATTTGTAATTTTTAATTTTTAATCAATTAATAGAAAGTTGTGGGTTTAAGTTTCAATTGCAACAAAGTAATTTAGTGAATGTCTTACATATTACCTAAGATGCGGAAATAATCATGAAATAATGACAATATAAAATGAAAATCAAGCACAATGTATTCACTACTCATCATGTATGTGAATCAAACACATTGCAATATTTTATGTGTTCTATTATTTATATTTATATGTTAACTTTAGGAAAATCAGTGGCACAATTTAATTAATTTATCAATATTATTAAGTCAGCATCAAAAACTTGGTGCAATTGTGACTACAAGTCAGCTTGATAACTTCAAAAATACATGCTTTGAGTATAAAACAATAGGGAAAAAAATATATAAAATAATAATCTTTTCTTAGTAATGTAAAAGGTTAAATTTATTTTCTATTTTCTCTTCCCAGCTTGACTATATTATGACCAAGGCTGTATTGAAATTCCTATTCAACTTGTAAATTTGTTGAAGCTCATCTAAATAGCTGGTGTGACACACTACTAATATTATGTGTGACTTCTTTAAATTTCAAATATGTAAATAATTAAACTAAAAAATTTCAAAATTACTAAAAAAAAGAATAAAACTCCAAATTATCTCTTTTTATATTTGATAACAAAAAACAAAAAAAAAACTATCTCTTTTTTATATTTAAAATTCAAAAAATAAGGTATGTTCTTAGTCACACAATTCGTCCAAAGACGCTCCGCTCTCATGCTCCGCACGCGAATTTGCAATTTGGGAGTGAATTCGTATAAAATTTGACAATTCAATTTTTGTAATTGGTCAAATTTGTTTTT